CAAGAGACAAATAAGATGGTCAGGTACTCCCATCTCTTTAAGAACTTGCCACAATTTGTTGTGATCCACACAATCAAAGGCTTTAGCATAGTCAATGAAGCACAAGTAGATGTTTTTCTGGAACTCCCTAGCTTTCTCCATGATCCAGCGTATACAAAAAGAATAATGTCAGCTACTTCTTGTAGATGATGTAAAGGGAGCAGAGAAGGGGGAAGAGAAGACCAGCACCATGAAGGTATGAGGTATCCTAGGGGCACATCAGCCTCTTTCCCTTCTCCTCCAAAGTGCTGCCTTTAGTCAGTCAAAATCATTTGGTTTGTCTCCATGTTCTTCCCAAACTGCACAGAATGCCTATGATTTTCCAAGTTCAGAGGGTTACAGACATCCCCATAGGTTTGTTAAAGTAAACCTTTAAAAAGTAACACTTTCAAAATGCAAAGTCTGTTGTTTTTGTAGGAAGAAAAAGGATGCTCAGTATTAGCTGAGAGACTAGTTAGTAACTTTAATCCACTGCTGCTTTTCTTTCAGATGCAAACTGAAAATCCCTTTAGTTGTAGAAAAGCTATATGGAAAGTAGCCTCTTAAATGTTCTTCACATGAGCCTATCAGCTCAGAAGGTCTTTGGAAAAGGATCTCTCTCACTGTTGTGCTCAGCTAGATTTGCCAGGTACAGTTGTCACTCTACTGATGCAAAGAGCCAAATGACTTTCCATCTTTTAAGGCAAGAACACAAAACATGCCGCTTGCAGGAAGCAAGTGCTCTTCGAAGTCCTGCCTTACATTCCCTTAGAACCCACCTCACCTATGCTGCCGGAGGTAGGCATGGGGAAGAAATACACTGTGGGGACAGGCTTTTGTTCCTGTCACAGGAACCACAATCTTGGAAGATTACAAGAAGCAGGGCTTGCAGTTTCTTATCTGTTTCATAAGATGCTTCAGGAATGAGGCTTGTTTGGAAGTTTGTATGTGTGCAAGGACTTGGGGGTGGGGGTGTTAATCGATTGGTCCCAAAGGAATGCAGCATAAATTGCCCTTCCATATAAAACTGAGAAAGTCTTTTAATATCAGAACGTATCAGAATGTATATAGAACAAAGACAATGTGAATAAATCTGAATGAATTGGATGCAATTCTGTGTGTGCATATTTGCAAATATGCATGTGCAAATCTGCATGTGCCAGTGCTGCCTCACCATCCCAGAAAACATCCAATGTGTCTGTTGGGGCTGAAAAGGTTGCACATCTCTACTGTAAGGCATTTCTTGTAGAGAAGAGGCATGCTCCTAATTATAAACCACAATATTTTTAAATTGCTAATCTAAGATTTTATTCTATTAGTCTCAAGGGTGGACAACCCATGACCCTCCATGTTTTGGGCTTCAATTCCCAAGATCCCTCACTATTATCTGTATTTGCTAGGATTGATGGGCATAGCAATCTAGAAGTTACCCACTCCTGCGTCAGTCAAGTATGTAATCATAACTGCTACATAGAACAAAGTTGCTTAAATGTTAGTACTCATGATATTTTTGGTGAATGGCTCTGCTTTATGTTCTTTTCTACTTTTAAGCTTTGTTTTTTCAGATGCTGTGAGCTCATCCCACCACGTTTTCCAAGTGTGGTATCATACTCATGTAAACTTTTAAAGAAAAACAAGCGATGCAAAACAATAAGGCAGCCCCTTCCTTGAGCAACAGTTTCTGGCACTCCATTGATGTTTTTGTTTCTTTATTTTCTGTGTATGTGTTACATGTAGAAGGTTTAAAAAAAACATTACTCAGTGGATGTTTTAATTGGTCTTTTAGAATTAGGCACTTCGATTGTGTATGGATGTCATTAATGCATGGCAAATCTTGGCTCAGAGAACAAGACAGACTAAAATGTGCTCAGACATCCCAGACCTATCCACCCTTCTAATTCAACTTGGATCAGTAGATCATTAGAAAGTTGATGAGCTATGTACTGTGTAGATAGGTAATTTTAATAATTCATTCATTGATTGACTTGAAAAACTATCATTCTTCAAATATATAATATCCAGTTACTTGAGCTATTAAACTGTAGGAGAAATAATAGCTGAGAAATGTATGTTAAATAAAAATAAAATTTAAGAAAATATGTTATGTATTAATACATAATACATGCAAATATGTCTTGCTGAGTAATAGCACTAGATCCCTCAATGTTCTCCAAGTGGTAGCACTCCCTGAAAATATTTCCTGTTACTCCATCTGGACTCCAAGCTTTCCATCACAGCAAAATTATGCACAATGTATATAATAAAATACTTGCTCCTCCAGTAATGGTCTTTGTCACGCTTTATTCATCCCAGCTAGCAGCAGTGCTGTTAGCAACACATCTCAGGCACCTGATCTTGAGGCAGAAGTCCAAGTCCCTGCAGTCCCAGTGACCCAGGAGGGCCCCCAAATAAACCACCCTAGATTCTTCCTTCTTCTGGGTAGCTACTTGTAGCTCCGGCTTGGAAATAGGCAAAATGCACTTTAAAATCCAAGCTCTAGTTACAAGCAGTGGTTACACTGAAAGATCACTGGGCAGCAGATTGGGCTGCCTGCTGTTGCTCTGAAAATGGAGCTGTTCTCTTCCTCCCAGAATGAACCCAACAGGAAAGAAAATATGGGAGCTAGCACTCCCTAGCTGCAACCTCCTAGGTTTGCTCTTCCAGCTGTAAGTGGGCAGTTTCTGCAAGGAGAAGCAAGACAGTGCTGGCTGGTAAAGGTCAGAAGGAACTGGCAGGAAATCCAAATTATTTGCTTTCCCCCCTTTTTCTCAGATGTTTATGCCCACTTACTCAGAGGTAAGGCACACTAACTGAAGCTGTATTTTCATATTGCAGTTTGAAGGTATGAAATATTTTGCACTGGCATCAGAAGAAAAAAGATACATGCTTTTCCATTCTATATAGGTATGGATGCTGAAATTCTTAAAACTGGATTTTCTTCAAGGCTACTGATTTCTAATTGCTCTACACCTGCATGCTATTCCATCTGAAGATATATTGTTCAAACACTGGTGATGAACCACACTGATCATCCCAGAAATACAGACCACCAACCACTCTCAGAATTCAGCAATCTAAGGGTCAATGCATACTCTGAGATGAATTAACTGGTAAAGCTTTTGTGGACTGTATCACCTTAGAAGGCAGGTGGGGGAAGCTGCAGTAAATCCAGGAGGCAGGGCCTCCTTGTTCTGTATACCTCTTGACTCTTTCATATAAGGATGAGGAGGATGCCGAAGGGAAATTTCTTGAAATTAATTCAGCTAATTAAGACGAACCATTGAAGGAGATGATGAACATTGCAATTCATTCATTACTGGCTTATATTAGGCATCTTTATGCAAACTACCTATTGAATACAGTGGGATTTTGTTCTGAATAAATGTGTGTAAGATCAGCTGTGTTCTTGTAAAATCATTATCTAAAATTGCTTAGTTGCACTACTGCAAGGTAGTCTTTCCAGAATTTTCCTGCTACTCCCTTTCCTCCAAAACCTTAAAAATATTTCTTCTACATTAATCCCTGAAAATGAGTACACAAAAGCATATATGTTAGAATTAATATATTACTGTTATATTCACAATTCAACCTTAATTTAAAATGGAATGTTGTTTTGACAGATATCCTATTAGAAACAGTTTAATGACAATTACAATTTTAACATAAAGTTTCAATATCTCTACTGATAGTTTAGTCAATGAATGCCCAATGTATTTCAGATCAGTAACTTAACTGGTGCTGCTACTTCAGGGAAATCAATTCGCCTGTATATTATGTGGATGAATAGAGAAGAGAGTAAGAAAAAGTCTTGTATCTTGCTTTCAGTTACCAGTATGAAAGATTTGGTCTTTAGCTGCTTTTAAACAGAACCAACCAACCAAAAGAAAAAAAAAGAGTCATTCAGCCAAGCATCTCCTTGTGAGCTCAGCAAGGCGGCTGGGTTAACGCACTAAGCTTTCCAGCATCAGTTAAAGAAGCAGGCGCTGGTACATACCCCAGAAGCTGTCCTAGATTCAGTCAGACGGGGAGGCGATTTCTCGCTGTCTTTCCCTCCTTTCTTGGATCCTTCCTTCGCTTCCTCCTCCTCCGCAGTCGCCACCCCCTCTTCCTGCTCCGATCCCACCACCGCCTCCGCCGACGGGGGATCCAAACTGTCCTCATTCATTTTGCGACCCAGCAAAGAAAGCTTGCCGCCGTCCGCGGCGGGCAGGAGAAGCTCTGGGGTGGCCGCCGCGGAAGGCTGCGGCGGGCTTTGCAGGGACATTGCTTTCTGTCAGCGCTGCTCCCCGTCAACCAGCAGCCATCCTCGGCCCTTCTCAACCCCCTCCCCAAAAGGCGCGCCTCCTCTTCTTCTCTCTTCCGCCCCGCACAGCGGCGGTTATCTCAAACAACCTCTCTGCCTCAAGGCACGCACGGCCCACGGCCCCCACTACCCCCCCGCGAAGATGCAGATTCCGCAAGTAGCAACCGGCTCTTTGGAAACAGCCACAACAATCCTGGACCCGCCACTGTCTTCCTAATACTCCCTGCTCAAAATCTGCCTGCAGTTTCTTCCTACCCGCGACCCACACCGCTTCGCTTGATAGGGTTAATCGGGAAAAGCATGCCCCGCACGGCGCTCCTCCTCTCTTCCTCTCCCCCTCTCCCCACCCGTCGCGGCCGGTCCCTAATCCCACAGCCGAGTAGCGAGAAGATGCCCGCCTCCTTCCTCCGCTCTCCAGCGGCCTCCCTGCGGCTCCCTCTGCCAGCCTCAGAGCAACAACGACCTCGTTAGGCCGTCCCCAGAATAAGCACGGAGGCGGCGGCGGCGGCGGCACTAGGCGCTGCTCAGCGCGCTACCCCGCCGGGGGTTCAGACACCCCCGCGCGGAAGGGAGACGAGACGTGGCGGTCGCGTCAGCGCGCCGCCGCCCCCACTAGTTCATTTTCCACTGGCTGGCGAGGGAGGGGCCTCAGGCGAAGCTGTCCGACTGCCACGGCCACCTGCCACGGCCACGGCCACCCCGCAGAGCCGCTACGCCGCCTACAGGCCAGGGCTAGAAAGCGACGCCGCCTTGTTAATAGAAATGCAGTTGGTGTGGTGGGGGCTGCGTGCGTGAGAGGCCACGCGGTTACGAAAACTCCGTAGCCGGAGTGGGTGGGCGGAACCGGCGCTGCGAAGGAGAACTACGCACTCGCTCGCCCCGTAGTTGCCGCGATTCAGAGATTCTCTGGCAGACGATTCGCAACGGAACTAGCCTCGTTGTACGTCATCCGCTCAGTGAGCACCGGGCAGATTCCCTTTTGTACGCACCTTGCTGGGTAGAGGGATGCAAAGCACAGATGTCGCTGTGCTGAAGCAGTTCCTCAGTTTACAGCAGGACCTAAATATCGTTTGCTCATTTTCCATCTTCCTAAGTTTTCTTCCTTCTTTGCACCTGTCTCCTTTGTCAAAATTTAGACTGGAAGCTGTTGAGGCTGGAAAGCTTCTTTTTCCTCCACTTATGCTAAAGTACATTGCTAGAATTATTATTACTCTCGTCAGTAATTGACAGCAAATAGGCATGATGTTGTGCAACTCGAAATGTTATACAGAATAAATAACTGCTTTGAGCTATTTCAGAAAAGTAGTACAAAATATTTTAATAAATAGAATTAGGATAGGCAGCTGCCCTCCTTTACCACACTGAGAGAATGTAGGGTTGTAGAACTTGAATGGGAAAAAGTGAGACAACTTTCAGCTCTTCTTAAAACCCATCTTTCCAGCCACCACCATCCTGCATTCTTTCAAATTCATTCCAAGGCTGCTGCTACCTAACCACCCCATTCTTCATGAAACTTCCTTCCTAGCAAGGCGTTCTGCCTGAGGTGGCCCTGGTGCTGTGGAAACACAGGTGATCTCCAAGGCCATAGCACCCAGAATGCCTCACCATGAAGAAGAATGCAAAGCATGTGTGCCACATATAGCTACTTGCAGCCATATAGGTTTCTGGAGAGCCTCATGGACTGTGGAGTTCTGCTGTGGTCTTTCCTGTAGCAGGGTAGCAGCCGGTAGGACTGCCCAGAAAGCCTTCCCTGTGCTGTGCCTGTGCTATGCCTAGCTCCAAGGCCGCCTCAGAATTAGTTTTTCTGGGAATTCTCCAGTACTTGGTGTCTCTCAAGTGCTGGCAAGCCAGTGCCTTGTTCTGAGAACGCCGAAGCAGAGAGATCTATAGCTGAGAGAGCCTGAAGTACCAGCACTAGAGGCTGGTGCCACCACCATGCAGCCAATTCTGCCACCTTAGGGGTGTTGCTTACTACCCCCGGAATTTGGTGCTTAAGGCAGTCACCTAATTTGCTCCCAGAAAGAAACAGCTCTGGCTTTCCATCATGTGAAGGAAATTTTTCATGCTTTCTGCATTTTGACCTCTATAAGAGAAAAAGTAACAGGGGAAGAGAACTTGGAAGAGAGAACTGTGATATATCAGAGAAAAATATAAGACACCTTGCTGCCTCTTTGCTCAGGATTCCAGACTCAAAGCTGTCGTCTATTAAAACCACACTGTGATACAAATGCACATTTCTATATAATGTAACGTTAATCCTGTAGGATGCAGTCCTATGCATGTTTAGAAAGAAAAAAGTCTAAATAGGCATAAGATTGACCTTTAGTTTTATTTTAGGAATATAGGAGGAACAGAATAACCCATTTCCCCCATAGTGTAATATTATAAATGAGGCATATCTCGTCTTTGGAATAGCTGTAGAAATATACTGTCTATCCTAACCAAGTTAAATTGTATGCATAGCTTATTGGGATTTTCTCTGATAAGGGTTAAAAGAAACTCTCTGAAATATCCAGCTTAATGTTCTGCTGTGAGGGCATATGAAAGAAAAAAAATGACATCAAATGGCCACTGGAATGCAAATAGCCATACAATACATGCCATATAAAATACTAGCCAGTGAATATTGGTTGATTATACTGTGGACACTGGAGCTATCTGCAAATAGTAGAACTGTATGCCTCTTATCAGGTAAATGTGGTATTCTAAGCCACTGAGATTACAGAGGGAAGCCTTCCTTCTGTATGAGTTTGATGAGTTTAACAATCCATAGAAGTTCTCTTTCTCTATTCTCTGCTGGCCTCCTTTGTTTTTTTGTTTTTTCCCCTCATTTATTTTTTCACAGCAAAGGTGTGCTGTGAGCCAAGTTTGAACACATTTTTCACCACATTCTGCTTCCAAGCAGAATGTGTGTTTGACTGCATTCCTATTTAAAACAAGTAGAAAGTAGGTATTTTACAATAAAATCCTGAATCCTGCTCAGAAAGCATTGGTGTTTTCTGCAAGCAGCATAAGTTGGAAACAAGATAGACTCCAAATTCTGCAGCAAGGCTGTGTTCCAGAGATAGTTTCTTTTAATTCAATATAAGTTGATGTGACTATGTTAGATTGTGCCTTAGTTCCCTGTGAGTATGCACACTTTGTCATTTGTATGGGCATCCTGCTGACATAGTGGCTTACATAATTACACAATACCATCACACAAACATCCCCATCAGTGACTGTCACATAGAGGTTGTGGAGGATCATTGGGATGATGATTCCACCTCTCCTCTTTTTTTTTTCCACCTATCAGGAAGCTCCTGAGCACTAGCACTCATTCCTTGGTGGACGAGATGTTCTCAGTGATACGGAGAATCTGCTAGTGGTGGGTAAAGGGATGTAGATTTTACATACATCTTGAATTTGATAGATTTTTTTACTTATGATTTAATTTGCATCAGATCTAACTTAGTATGTCTATTTATTACATTAGCAAACAAAGCTAAGAAAAAAGAGAGAACATGTTATATAAAATATCCTATACAAGACTGTCAACGTGCTGTAAGTACTTTAGTTTTGTGGCATAATTGAGATCCAAGCACTGCACAAACAGCATTTCCTTCCTGTTTTTTCTTCTATATAACCTTTAGATGAGACTGTGGTCTGATGGAATAGCACAAGTAGACAAGTGCAAAAAGCATTTTGTTTCACTTTACAAAAATGCCACATTACTCTTTCTCTTAAAAACTAATCAAAAGTGCTGTGTAAAACCAGAAATGAAACTGGAGAGTTATGACATCATGCTATGATTCATGCTATGATTAGGGAATGATAACAGCACAATAAATATGTCAAAATTGCTGTATCCATTTGTTGATTATACAAAACTACTATTATAGAAGCTCAGCTACAATCTATGCCATAGGTTAGGATCAGTAGTACTAAGTCCAAGAAGTAACCAACATGGTTAACAAACCGTGTAAAGAAAACTATTAAAGAAAAGTATGTTTCCTTCAGGTAACATAAGTCTTGTCCAAATGAAGTAAACAAAAGTGAGTACGAGCTTGCACAGAGGAGATGCAAACAGACAATAAGAGATGCAAACAGCGTATTGTGGAACATGTTGCTAATAACATCATGGTCAGAAACTTGAAACCAGCTAGGGAGGACTTGGGGCATTGAATGACATTGGAGTTAAAGATGTACTAAAGGAGGATAAAGGTATTTTAGAGAAACTGAATTATTTTTCTGTCTTCACTGCACAAGATACCTGTGTCTGAACTGATGTTTTCTGGAAGGGAATCTGAAGATCTGAGGGAAACAATGGTGACAAAAAATGAATCCCTCAACCTTATTGTCAAATGATAGTTAATTAATTACCAAGCCCATATGTTAGCTATTCTAGAATTCTCAAAGAAGTCAAATACAAATTTTTGATCTACTAACAAAAATATGTAACATGTCCCCAAATCAACCTCTGTATCTGAAGACTGAAGAGTGGCCAGTGTGATGCAATTATTAAAAAGTGATCCAGGGGATCTGGGAAATTACAGGCTGGTTAGCTTTACATCTGTTCCAGGTAAAATGGCTGAAAGCATTATTAAACATAAACCTAGTAAGCACACAGATGGACAAGCCCTGCTGAAAAAGAATCAAAGTGCAGTGCAAAGTACTGTTTTACTAACCTTTTGGAATTATTTGAGAGTGTTTGTAAACCTGTGGAGAGGGGTGATCTGGTATACATTTTTTACTGGGATTTCTAAAAGGCCTTTGACAAAGTTCCTCACTAAAGAATCCTAAGCAAACTAAGCAGTCATGGAATAAAAGGAGAGATCCTTTTATGGATTAGTAACTGGTTAAAGAACACAAACCAGAGAGCAGGAATAAATGGTAAATTCTTCCATGTGCAAGAATGCAGACTCCATGGTCTCAAAGGAATTTGTATTGCAATGCTTTTAAACATATTCATAAATGATCTGGAATTAGGAGTGAGTAGTGAAGTAGCTAGGTTTCCTGATGATACCAAATATTTAGGATTGTTTAAACAAAAGAAAAAGATTGTGAAGAGCACCACCCAACCTAGAGAATG